GCCAAACTCCCACGACCAAAAATTTCAAATAAGGCTACATAATTTTCAAACAGGGTAATTTACTATACAATTTTTCAGGTCAGCCCCTAAAGTTTTCTGTTAAACCCGTTTTATTTTGGCAATAGTGCAATTTAGGTGAACCTTGAATATGAACTATAGATTGATAACCAAGAAAGGAAAAGTCCGAATAAGTTTTGTTAATTAGGTCAGTTAGAAACATCCCTTTAGCCTCTTCAAGCGATATTAAGTTAGAAATCTTACATTTTAAATAATATAATCTTATCTTGTGATACAATAAACCATGATCTATGTCGAACCAAGATTTGAAAATATGCTAGTAATCAAACTGTGCTTGTTCAGTTATGGGGTCTTGTCAGGTCATAGACACTTTTAGTGTTGCTGTACTTTCTAGCACATGCTTCTACCCTTTGGCTGTCTTCTTATCATTAATTTTGTAGCTTAGTGAGTGTGGATGGCCGATTGCTAGATTAGTTGGTATGTCAAAACCCCAACTGACCATAACACAACAAGCGAATTTTATCTCCTTATTGCTGCTGCAAGCGGAATTTTATCCTCCCAATATCTCTACACTAGAAGGATACACCCACATAATTTGTCATTGTATGGTGTTTAGTGTTTACCCCTAAACAGCTAAGACTAAGAGCATCCATGGAATTTGCAATTAAGTTTGTACATGATGGAGACAATACAATGCAGCACTTGTGTTCAATTATAAATACACCAAGGATTGTAAGGTATAATTACTTTGCAGCTTGTAATACACAGAGACAAAATGTAAACCATAGTGAACCCAGTAGTAATAACATGCATTTAATTTACAAAATTTGTTTGCACGATAATCTTCTTCTCTTAAAAAGTAAAAGATTATGAATTCGAGTCATAATATGAGACTAAAATAAGAAATCGGATAAATAAGAGAATCTATATGACTTGTTTCATTCCCCCTTCCACTCAGGTTCCATTCCCCCTTCCACTCAGGTTTTATTGTGACCGAATCAAGACCTACATAAGGGTACTACCATCTCAAGCTGCAAGGACATTTAACTGTATGATTCTCTAATCATAGATAATTTTATGATATTTTTATGAAGATATGTTAAACTTTTAATTTTGACTGAAGTACCATGGAAGTCATATAGAATATCTTCCGATGTATTGTGTTTGGAAGACTAGAATATATTCAGACAAACAAAAATAAGCATAAATCGATTTGGACCACAAAGTTTTAGTGATTTTTGAACCCGTGACTCTATCCGTAGTACACAATACGAACCATGTTGCATAAGAAATGATCTCAAAGAATCATATTGTGTATATGTGGTTTGCTAAGATGGTGATACCGTTGATAGCTCATCCTGAGGATTCCTCCAGTGAACTTTTATGAGTCTGTTTTCTTTAGGGGGTTGTAATACATGGCAGATGAAATTGCTTGGTGTCCTGAAATTGAAGTGCTTTTTGAGATTTTCTTTCAACAAATCTGGAAGGAAAATCATAGAAATACAATCCTTTATACAGTAAGATATTGCATTTTGTGATATTTTTTTATTCAAAGATCGTGGATGGGTATAATTGCACATCATATTATATAAAATATTATACAATAAAATATTATACCTGTACCACTGTCTGTGGTTTTTTCTTTTTTCTTTTTTCTTTTTTTTTTTTAAGTGTCTCTTAAGCAATGATTCACAGAATATGGGCGTAGCTTTTCCCAATTTATACGAAATGAATCAATCCAAATAAATTCTATTAATGGAGTGAAAGCAAACTTCCAAGTCCCAACCCTTCCTACATTTATGTTTTGGGTATAACAAGGCCCATCGCGGTTACATAAGTCAATCAAAACTTCAATGACACCCCAGGGCTACTGGTCTCATTCAATTATGGTGTCAAGACACCCATTTCGTTACCTGCTGCTGCATTCACTAGACATGTCAAACAACAGTAAAATATTAGGATGAGTACCTGCAAGAGCTTCATGTTCAAATAACTGAACTGCAAGGTATTAAGAGGGAGAAAATGGTTGCCCCTTCCCTGCCCTGGGACTGAGCAAAGACCAAGTATCTGGATGCGAGAGCAAGTATCTGGGTGCGAGTGAATTCATGAAATTCGAGCTTCTTAATTCAAAAACCAAATCAAAACCTAGATTAGTCAACAAGAGATAACCATGTAAGCAAAAATCATTACCATATTTCAATAACACAAAATTATTCACAATTAATCACTTGATCCCTGAAGTCATCATTTTTCAGGTCAGACTTCAGCGAAACTTGAAAATCTCAGCAAGTTGAAAGCATGCCAATTCGTATAATCGGTTTTCCAACTAAATATAATATTCAAAAGAGATACGGTATTCTCATGAATGTTCAAAAAAAAGAGATACGGTAAATTATAACACAGGAAAATTAGGCAAATCAAACTAAGATTTCTGGTTTTAGCAAGGTAAAACAAGTGAGTACGAGCCAAACAACATGGCAAATGCTAACTAATGCCTTGTAGGCTTGTTTTATATAGGCAGCATGTCTCCCCATGAGAACCACTTTGACAATGGTAGTCAATTAGAGAGCATAGACACAGAAAGACTGAGTGGAAAACAAGTTAGCATCTACACGCTACAGCTTACATCCAAAAGAACCTTAAAGTTAGCTTATGAACATTTCTTCCCAATACCGTGCAGTTGATCTGTTCAGCTTACAGCATCATCCTCCTCGCATATGAGCTCCTAGTTCACCAAATTGATCATCAGCTTCCACGGTATCCTCAGACAGGCGAACAGCATCAAGCTTTTGTTTGAGGACTTGTATGGCATTAAGCAGCAGCTGAGAAGCCTTAATAGCACCAGTAGATTCGACCATGAAAATGAAACTGTTTTCTTTTGGGTGTATCTCAATAAGCCCAGGCTTACCCATAGCTTCTACTTTCTTCAACACTTCATCATCGTAGGTATATGCCTCTGGATCATCCACTACAACCTGTATATCAAAATTACATATATTACAAGAAGGATGAAAAGATGTTGAAGTTGACTCATCACGTTTTGACTGGAATACCAAAATAAATAAAAGTATAGCATAAGAGGCTCAAGATAGATTAGTTACCAACACACAATATAAAATAAAGTAAATAAAATTCTGAATGAAACTTTCGGAAACCTCTTCAATAAAGCAGATTCATGTCTCCATAGACTATAACTGCCACATTATAATTTCTCAGTTCAGGAAATGAATAATCCATGAACTCTAATTAAACCATCAAGAATCTACCATAAACTCCATATCATGTTAACATAAGACAGAAA